GTGCTATATAAATGCTAATTTACACCTTTTTGAATATGTATTTTTTTCGTTTAGTATGTTAAGGAGTTTAACTTTTACTAACACATTTATTTTGAATCAATTAATTTTTCAGACGTGGAGGCTTTAGCTATGAAATGTGGATTGGAGATCACTCGTGGCAGAAAAGGCAAACTGAAATTATTTTTCGCCGGTTATGAGTACTTGCGAAATTTTTGCAAAGGTCCAAAAACGTATTGGCTTTGTGCAAGGAATCGTGAAATTCGTTGCCATGCGCGTGTCATCACCTCTTCACGGACTGGTGAATTGGTTATAAGAAATCCAAATCACAATCACACACCGCCAGAGCAGCCAAAACAACAATGCCCAAATCAAAATCACACGCCGCTAAACAAACCGAAGCAGCCAAAACAGCAATGCCTAAAGGAAGATAGTTTTATTTGGAGTTTAAATTACGGAAATGAGAAAGAATAAAAATGATGAAAAATTAACATTAAAATCTTATGCATATGTATGTATGTATATAATAGGAAAACATGTTATCTGTACACTAACTTTCTTTCTAAGCAAAAATGTAGATTGTGGCGCTCTGAAAATCCAAGCACCAGTTACACCCATCCAGATGCACTGTTTGGTGCGGTGTTATGGCCGAAAAACTTATCGGCCCATATTTCTTTGAGAATGAGGATGAAACGCCAGAAACGATTTCTGGGGCTTCTTACAGAACAATGATTGACAAATTTTTGTGGCCAAAGGCAGAGCAGTATCCTAATTTGTGTTTCCGCTAGGCAAACTATGGACCTATCAATGGTAGGCCTTATTTGACTCACCTTGCAGAGGTATTTTGAAGCTAAAGTGCAGAAAATTACTCAAATTTCAAAATAGTCTAAAACGAAAAATCAATTAAAAATTTACACTAACACAAATGTCATACATGTAAATCAGGGGGAAATACCCCCTAAATGTATGTTTCAATATTGACACTGAGTTAAATAAACGTGCTAAGCGGCAGTTTTGGAATAGCATTTATGTAGATCAATGCTGGGCACACCAACACAGTCTCATTTTGTCGTAGTATTAGTACGTGGCGCTCCTTTTTTCAATTCTTTAAAATGCTGGCCGGCCAGATGATTACGGTGTTTCGATATTATTATTTTCTTATAAATTGGTATTTAGTCCTAAATATAGAGTGTGGGCGTTTTCAAGAACCATTTTAAAAATATTTTTCTTTATGACGAGATAGTTTATTTTGTAAGAACCAACAATTTCTTTTATAATTTTTTTTTCGAAAACTTATGTTAAAATATGTATATTTCGTTAGGTCTTAAACATTTTGTTTTTGCAAAAAGTAAAAATTCATTGCGGATTCCGATAGAATACCTATCCAAATGTAATATTTGTATGGCAAGATTTTTCTTTAAGGCGACGAACCCCTAGAAATGGGCGTGGCAATTGCAGAACTAAAATAAGCAAAACGCAGATTTTATTGCGGATTTCGGCAGAATATCGCTTCGTTACCAATATTTGTTCCACAACTTTTTCAATCCATAGCAAATCAACTTCAAAAAGTTCAACTGTTAATAGCTAAGATAGCTTCAGGACAATCTTGACCATCTTATATATAGAAATATTAAACCCGTTTCTTTAGCAGAACTCGAAGTATAAAAAAATGCAAACTTTGAAGGATCATATCTCCAAAGAAAAAAGCGATAGAAAAAGTTCCTCGAACAAGTGTTAGCTTATTCCATGTATAGAACCCATAAAAAAATTTGGAACCAATCGAAAGTGGTGTCCGATATGAAAAATAATGTGTCTCATAGTATATAGAAAGTGATAGACATAAATATATAGGCAAAGGAAAAGATAAAACTGAAGAATCAGATATGTTATGTTATGTTCTGTTATGGTATATGTTATTTTATGTTAAGGTATGTGATGTCATGTTATCTTATGTTATGTAATATTTTGTTTTGATACGTTGTGTTATGTTTTGGTATGTTGTATTATGTTAATAATAATAATAGATTGGCGCTTACACATACATACATATGTTAGTGTTTGGCCGAACTTTTCCTCCGATTTGTGGCGTGCGCCTTGATGTCACATAAAGGGGAGGGACCTACAGTTTTACGTCGACTCTGAACGGCGATTGTATTTTTATGAAAAGCTGTTTTTCATGGCAGAAATACATACACTCGGAGGTTTGCGATTGCCTGCCGAGGGACGACCGCTATTAGATAAAACGTGAATTTCTTTTTGTTTTTTGAACCCAGGCCCTGCGCAATGTACGAAATCAACAGCTTATTCCGTGAATTTTTACCATTACTTCTTCAGGATCAACCCTAAACGTTCTAGGGTTAGCTTGTCCAAGTTCATCCTGCAAACTTCATAACTTGCACTTGCCTTTGCCTTCGAGTTGTGCACACCATCTTTACGAATTCTCATCTATTGAATAGAGTTATTGTTGTGGCAGTGCTCAACTCTTTAGGTAAAGCGGGCAGCGTCGATAGGCGCAGTCTATAGTAGATATTTCCGGTTTCAGGATGGTCGGCTTGAAGATGTGCGGAGAGAAGTGTTAGATGTTATGAGCGCCTTGCCTACATACCTGGTAGGTGTTTGCCTCCTCTGAGTTCGGCAGAGAGGTAGTTGTTGTTGAGCCTGTGATACCACTCGGAACTAATCTGTTGATGGGCGGCGGTCGACCTTCTAGCATCAGGTTGACTTTGGGCGGGTGCTAGGCTTGTACGACAGCCGACAGCATCGCTGTGTACTACTATGTTGCTGCCCGCCGCCTTGCATGGCTCTCCACAGATGATGTAGGTTAGGGACAAGCACTTAAACTGTTAAAAGTGGCTGAGGTACATATGCGCTAAAAAAGCAAAAGTTATCGAACGTATTTCCCAAGATTTTAGGGTGGTTCACAATCGATATTTTCTACCAGCTTATACAAAGAAGTAATACACTGGGATGTTTGCCAATGCATT